TGGTTTATGGACACCGGCGCCTCACACCACATTGCCTCCGACCCAGGTACTCTTTCTTATGTTTCTTCTTCTCCATCATTATACTCACCATTATATATCACTGTTGATAATGGATCTAAAGTTCGCACTACGGCTGTTGGAAGCCACACCATCCCCACCACCCCTCCCCTATCCCTCAAACATATCTTAGTCTCCCCTCACATCACTCACAACCTTATCTCTGTTCACCAACTTACCCGTGATAATAACTGTACTGTTGAATTTGATGCTCATGGTTTTTTTGTGAAGGATCGTCGGACGGGAACCGTGATGCATCGATCCAATGATATGAGACCTCTCTACCCTGTAGGACGCACCACCACTGCACAAGACCTCTCTACCGTGATGCATCGATCCAATGATATGAGACCTCTCTACCCTGTAGGCGCCTTGGTCACCCAAGCCCAGCTGTCCTCCGTGGCGTCCCTTATATTTCTCATTTTAAAAATTATCAACATACTTTATGTCATGCATGTCAATTGGGGAAGCATGTGCGCCTCCCTTTTTCATCATCTAGTCGTGTTTTTAGTTTTCCTTTTCAACTTTTACATTCAGACTTATGGCAATCTCCTGTACCCAGTATTACTGGCTTTAAATTTTACATGATCTTATTGGATTATTTTTCGCATTATTTATGGGTGTTTCCTCTACGACACAAAAGTGACGCTTTTAATCATTTAACCACTTTCAAAGCATATGTCAAAAATCATTTTAACACAACAATCAAAGTTGTGCAATGCAATAATGGAACTGAATTTCGCAACTCTCCTCTTAAAAATATTTTTGATTCCTTAGGCATTCTCTTTAGATTCTCTTGCCCCTACACAAGTCAACAAAACGGACGGGCTGAGCGCACCCTCCGCACCATTAACAACACCATTCGATCTCTTCTTTTTCAAGCCCAACTCCCCCCCCCCCCCAAATTTTGGGTCGAAGCCCTTCACATGGCCGCCCACATTTTTAATATACTTCCCATCACCACTCTAAATAACAACACCCCCCATGCTACACTTTACAACTCACCACCCTCATACTCCCATCTTCGTGTTTTCGGTTGTCTTTGCTACCCTAACATCTCCGCCACTACCCCTAACAAATTAGCGCCACGCTCAGCTCGCTGCATTTTTCTCGGTTATCCCTCCAACCAATGCGGCTACCGCTGCTTGGATCTTCAAACTAATAAACTCATTATCTCCCGCCATGTTATTTTTGACGAGTCTAATTTTCCTTACGGTCACCCTCTCACTTCACACGATTTAAAATTTCTCGACGCCACGGATGACGAAACTACCCCACCCTATCACTCCCTCCCCTTACCCGTATCCCACCAGTCCACTGCCCACCCCACACCTACGGCCCAGCCCACTGCCCACACCCCATCCCAGCGCCCCACCTCGGCCCAGCAACCCCCCA